AGACCCTGTACTACCTGTTGCCTGCCACTTTAACGCACCACCCTGTTCCCTGGCCAACATCTGTGTCTCTGGCTTGCTGCAGTGTTCCAGTGAAGCTCAACGCAAACTGGAAGAACAACACCTCATTTTCTGCTTGGGGACCCTGCAACCCTCCGCACTCAATAATTTTAGGGCCAGAACTCTCCCATGTCCCAGCCCCCTACCTCCCACACCAGGCCTTGTTACCATGTAGCCTGCCATTACACACTACCTGTTATTAGTCACTAATAGTCCCCATTAACAGCTATTCACCCTCCCAGCCTGAGTGTTAGCAACTCTTTCTCCAACTGCTCTTCTCTCTCTCTCGGCTCCATCCTATCGTTTACTCCCTACCCCATCCCCCTCCCTTTTTTTTCTGCATATAAACTGATGTTTTCCCAGCCACCATCAATTCTGAGGAAGGGTCACTGGACCCAAAACGTTAACTCTGTTTTCTCCTTCACAGCTGCTGCCAGACCTGCTGAGCTTTTCCCATAACTTTGTTTTTGTTTATTAAGTGAGAATCTGACATCAATGAACTTACTGCAGAATTCATACCAAACAAACAGGGATAGTGCAAATTGAAATAAATGGATATAAGCTCATAACTGTTATGGAAATATGGTTGTAAGGAGATCAGAATTGGGAACTTCACATTCATGAATTTTTAATTTTTTGGAAAGACAGGAGGAATGGAAAAGGTGGTGGGAAGGCACTGTTAATAAGATGAAGTGAGGACAGTTGTGCGAGCTGATCAAGGCTCAGCTGCTGTAAAGTCCGTTTGGGTGGAGGTATGTAATAGCAGGGAAAGAAGGCACTAGTAGAAGTAGTGTATAGACCTCCAAACAGTAGCCACACTAGGCAAGGGTATAAATCAACAAGTAATAGGAGCACGTAAAGAGAATAGAGAAGGAATGGATGACTTTATACTACATCCTGATTGACCCATCCAATTGGAAAGAGTAGCTATGAGAACAAATTCATAAAGTGCATTAGGGATGGTTTCAGAGCAATACATCAGGGAGCCAACTAGGGAACTAGCTGCCCTGAATCTAGTAATGGGTAACAAAGTAGGTTTAATAAATAATTCCGAGTAAAAGATCCTATATGAAGTAATGCTTATAACATGATAAACTGAACACAAAATTCTAGGTGTGAGAAACAGGTTGGAGACAACTGTTAAATTTTAAAAAATAAAGGGAATTACAATAAAATGGGGATAGAGTTAGCCCAAGTAGACTGGGCAGATTAGCAGGAAAGACAGCAAGCACTGGCAGATATTTAAGCAGGTAATTCATGACTCTCCACAAAAAATCATTCCAGAAAAGAGGAAAGATTCTAACAGAGGGATAAACCGACCATGGCTAACCAGGGAAGTTAAGGAGAATATAAAATTGAATGAAAAAGCACATCAGGAGGCAAAAGTCATTGATAGCCCTGAAGACTGGGATGAATTGAGAACTAAAAAGATAAAAAATAAACTGAGGTCAAAGTAGTGAGGAATATAAGAACTGACATTAGGATCCTTAAATAGGAAGAGGTTAAAGTTCCTTGGAAAATGAACCTGGGGAGACTGTTATGGGAACAAGGAAATGGCAGAGGAGTTAAGCAGGTATTTTGTATGTCTTTAGTGATACTTCAAACATCTCATTAATACTAAAGAAAACAGGGGAGGAATTAAGTACCCGAAACGTCAGCCTCTCTGCTCCTATGATGCTGCTTGGCCTGCTGTGTTCATCCAGCCCTGCACCTTGTTGTCTCGGATTCTCCAGCATCTGCAGTTCCTACTATCTCTGAGGAATTAAGTACCATCACTAAAGTACTAGTATTAGAAAAACTAATCGGACTGAAGGCAGATAAGCTCCCTGGCTACAATGGTTTGCATCCTAGGATCCTAAAATTAGTCGCTAGATTACATCAGCTGTAATCTTCCAACATCCTTGGTTCTGGAGATGTACTTGAGGATTGGAAAACTGCCAATGTGACACTCCTATTCAAAAAGCGAGACAAAAAAAACCGACATAACTGTAGGCCAATTGGAAAAATGTTGCGATCTATTATTTTTTAAAGTTATAGCAGCATATTTGGAAAATCATAATTTAACCAAACAGATGGCTTCATGAAAGGAAAACCCATGTCTGGTGAGACTTCCTTGAAAAACTTTAATAAATTAGATTGGATAGAGGGAAACCATGTATTGCATTTGAACTTCCAGAAGGCATTCCACATGGTATCTCACAAAACGTTAAATCATACTGTCTGTGGTATTGGTAGTATATTGGTGTGAATACAGCTTTGGCTAATGGAAAGGAAACAAGCAGGGACAACTTTTTTTTGGGGTTGGCAACCTGTGCCCAGTGAGATTCCACAGAATATATATTATGGGGAAAAGACAAGTTACAAGTGTGGATACAAACAGTTTGCAGAGAGGTATTGTTCGGTTGAACGGGCAAGAGTTGGCAAATGGTGTATAATGTGGGGAAATGTGAAGTTGTTCATTTTGGAAGGGAAAACAGGAGTAATATTTAAATGGGGATAAACTGCAGACATCTGCAACAAAGGGACTTGTACACAAAACACAAAGCCACCTCACAGGTGTAGCAGGTAATCAGGAAAGCTGTATAAGATGCTGGTAGGACCATATTCAGAGTACTGTGAGCAATTTTGGTTCCCTTGTTTAAAGGAAAGATGTCATTTCATTGGAGGCAATTAAGAGAATATTCACTAGGATAATCTGTGGTAGGGAGGGATTGTCATATGAAGCAATTTCTCCTAACTTCTCTTGTATTTATGAACAGACCTTGGTTGGACAAACTATCTTGTTGCACAGGTTGTTCTGGTTGTGATAGCTCTTCAGTTCCAGCAGATGGAACCAATGGCAGTTTTAAAATCAGCAAGTTTGAGACAGAAAATAAACAACAAAAGCCCTGCGGACAGAAAATGATTCCATTCCACAGAAAACACTAGTTTAAAATGTGCTGGTCACTAGGGTAATGCAACTCACTCCAAGTTCCTAGTAATGAAAGTCCTTTCTCAGAGATATGAGCACTTTACTACTGAGCAGTGCACCTTACTGCTCCAGGAAGGGCTCTTTTGGGTTGACTTCACAGTAACTGAAAGGGCAGCCCTCACCATATCAAAACAGTTTAATTCCTCATTCTTTAATTTGCCATTCTGAGGAATGGTCATTGGACCCAAAACGTTAAGAACAAAGAAAAATTATAGCACAGGAACAGGCCCTTCAGCCCTGCCAAGCCTGCACCGATATGCTGCCTGTCACAACTAAAACCCCTTACACTTCCGGGGACCTTATTCCTCGATTCCCGTCGTATTCATGTATTTGTCAAGACACACTTTAAAGTCACTATAGTATCTGCTTCCACTACCTCCCCCCAGCAGCAAGTTCCAGGCACCCACCACCCGTTGTGTAAAAAAAAAACTTGCCTCATACATCACCTTCAAACCTTGGCCCTTGCACCTTAAACACATGGCCCTTGGTAACTGACTCTTCCACCCTGGGAAAAAGCTTCTGACTGTCCACTCTTGTCCATGCCCATCATAATCTTGTCGGCCTCTACCAGGTCGCTCCTCAATCCCCATCGTTCCAGTAAGAACAACCTAAAGTTTCCCCAACCTCTCCTCATAGCTAATGTCCTCCACACCACGCAACATCCTGGTAAATCTTTTCTGTACCCTCTCCAAAGCCACCACATCCTTCTGGTAGTGTGGCGACCAGAATTGAACACAATATTCCAAATGCGGCCTAACTAAAGGTTCTATAGAGCTGCAACAGTACCTGCCAATTTTTAAACTCAGTGCCCCAGCCACTGAAGGCAAGCATGCAGTATGCCTTGTTGATGACCTTCTCCACCTGCGTTGCCACTTTCAGTGAATTCCACCAACCTTTGTGCCATCAAACTTATTAATCAGACAAGTTACATTTTCCTCCAAATTATTTCATATATTACAAAACAGCAAAAGTCCCGACACTGATCCCAGAGGAACACCACTAGTCACAGCCCTCCATTCAGAAAATCACCCTTCCACTACTAACCTCTGTCTTCTATGACTGAGCCAGTTTTTTTTAAAAATCCATCCTGCAAGCTCACCTCTGACCCTGTGCAACTTTCCTTCTGTATCAGCCTGCCATGAGGGACCTTGTCAAAGGCCTTACTGAAGTCCATGTAGACAACATCACTGACCTACGCTCATCGATCATCTTTGGTACTTCCTCAAAAAAAAAACTCAACCAAGTTAGTGAGGCACAACTTCACCTTCACAAAACCATGTTGCCTCTCACTAATACACCCACTGATTTCCAAGTGGGAGTAAATCCTGTCTCAAAGAATCCTCTCCAATAATTTCCCTACCACTGACATAAGGCTCACCGGCCTGTAATTAGCTTGATTATCCCTGTCACCCTTCTTAAAAGAACAACATTGGCTATTCTCCAATCCTCTAGGACCTCCCCTGTAGCCAGTGAGGATACAAAGATTTCCAAGGCTCCAGCAATTTCCTCCCTTGCCTTTCTCAGTAACGAGGATCTGTGAACTCTGATCTTTTCTTCACAGATGCTGCCAGACCTGCTGAGCTTTTCCAGCAACTTCTGGTTTAATTCCTTGCAGTCTTCCCAAGTCTGCAGCAGTGTACAGTAACTAGGTTGATCAGTTTTTTTTAAAAAAAACCAAATATCCTGGATTTAGTCAAGAGTGATAGATACTTGGGATATAGTTAGAGAACAGCAACCTGGGATGAAGCCAAGCAGTAATCCCATGGAGGGAGATAGTGAAATGTGAAATCAGTAAATTCAGAAAAAAATGACTTACCAGTGGGGATTTAAAAAGATGCTTAAGGAGAAAGAAGGAAGTTCAAAAAAGGTCAAAACAAAAAAAAACTCAGGTTTACTGTAAACCATTTTATTTCAGTTTCTAACCCAAGAGCTTTTACTAAATAGATGTCATTTCAGAAAAAAAGTAAACTCCTTCATTTTACAAAACGTTTATTTTTTACATTGCTTGCACATTTTTAAAGTGTCGTTTTCATATCAAGGTAAAATCTATCACAAAATAGAATAGGTAACATGTTCCTCAGCTCGAATATATACATTTCAACCTATATACCCTCAAAAATATACAGTATTAGCCATTTATTGGCCATTAAACAGACGCTCTCAAATGAGAGTAAAATTTCGCTAAAGAAAAAATGTGATAGCATTATTGTGAGCAGACACAAATCCCATGAATTATCTGTGTCTTTAATAGGAGGTCAGCGAAAGATGACAATCCAAGGATTTCTAGTTCTGTGTTTTGCAGCAGTTCTTCAGTGCCTTTTTCCCATCTGCTGCTATTAGCTTTGTCACCGGTTGAACACTGTCCCTGATTTTTGCATTCTTCTTGGCTTCTCTGCATAAAAAAAGAGAGACATGAACAAATTATGTTGATGTGCACCGTACAGACATATCAAGTTCACCCCACTGATTTACATTTCAGTTATTAAGATTAATTAGTGCGGAACATCGTTTTGACACTTGTACTGGGTATGACTCGTTATCTAATGCATACAGGGGTCCATTGTGGTTTTGTTCTTGCTGGCTGGAGATAGGTTTTTACGCTTCAGCTATTTTTGTTTTGGCAACAAGACCAGGATTCAAATTTGAGTTGCTACAGCCTGGTCGACAGTGTGCAACAATGGCAGAACTTGAAGTTTGTCTGTGGATTTTGCCTCTGCCCGAGAGGCAGCACCCAGCCTCACGGTGTAAGAGACAGCCATCTGCAACTCCTCAGGGAGCCCCATTAAATCCCTCAGGAAAATAAGGAAGAACTAACAACGTGAAATCAGTTTTAACATCCTTCATTTTCTCAATCCTAATTTATAAACTCACCCACTGATGTCAGGATTTCCATTTCCAATTGCTAGCCAGTGAGTGCAGACATTGCACAAGACTTAGCTATGAATGTCACTGATTAACATACTTCACTCTCAAATAGTAGCTGCAAGAGCAAGGCACCACAAGACCAAAAGGATTAGTATAAGTGGATCTGTATCCTAATGACACTTGCTCAATACGTACTTTCTTTAATAACTCTTACCAGGGTAAATATGACAATTCCATTATTTTCTGGACATTCTTCCCCCCTCCAGGAAATTGTGTCTCAATGCAGGAATACCATCCCAACACAGGGATTATCATAGCCCCAAAAGCACTAAATTTAAATCAAAACAGTGAACTCTCCCATTATCAACACCTACCTTTCTCCTCATCAACCAAGACCAGATTATCTGCAGTCAATTCAGTTGCAAACACACTTCCACACAAACTGTATGCCTAACAGTGAATGCATCTCAGAATTGATGCAGGAGCAAATCACTGCAAATGCTGGAATCTGTACTGAACTAAAAAAAAATAAATGCTGGAAATCAGTGGGCCTGTGGAGACAGTCATCTGGACTCAATGTTAGCTTGCTCTCTCTTCCCACAGATGCTGTCTATAGAGCATAGAACATTACAGCGCAGTACAGGCCCGTCGGCCCTCGATGTTGCGCCGACCTGTGAAACCAATCTGAAGCCCATCTAACCTACACTATTCCATTATCATCCATATGTTTATCCAATGACCATTTAAATGCCCTTAACATTGGCGAGTCTACTACTGTTGCAGGCAGGGCATTCCACGCCCTTACTACTCTGAGTAAAGAACCTACCTCTGACATCTGTCCTATATCTATCACCCCTCAATTTAAAGCTATGTCCCCTCATGCTAGCCATCACCATCCGAGGAAAAAGGCTCTCACTGTCCACCCTATCTAATCCTCTGATCATCTTGTATGTCTCTATTAAGTCACCTCTTAACCTTCTCTCTAACAAAAACAGCCTCAAGTCCCTCAGAAGACCTTCTCTCCATACCAGGCAACATCCTGGTAAATCTCCTCTGCACCCTTTCCAATGCTTCCACATCCTTCCTATAATGCAGCGACCAGAACTGTATGCAATACTCCAAGTGCGGCCGCACCAGAGTTTTGTACAGCTGCAACATGACTTCATGGCTCTGAAACTCAATCCCTCTACCAATAAAACCTAACACACCGTACACCTTCTTAACAACCCTATCAACCTGGGTGGCAACTTTCAGTGATCTATGCACATGGACACCGAGATCTCTCTGCTCATCCACACTACCAAGAATCTTACCATTAGCCCAGTACTCTGTATTCCTGTTACTCCTTCCAAAGTGAATCACCTCATACTTTTCCACATTAAACTCCATTTGCCACCTCTCAGCCTAGCTATGTCCCTCTGTAACCTGCAACATCCTTCCGCACTATCCACAACTCCACCAACTTTGGTGTCATCCGCAAATTTACTAACCCATCCTTCTACGCCCTCATCCAGGTCATTTATAAAAATGACAATCAGCAGTGGCCCCAAAACAGATCCTTGCAGTACACCACTAGTAACTGAACTTCAGAATGAACATTTCCCATCAACCACCACCCTCTGTCTTCTTACAGTTAGCCAATTTCTGATCCAAACCGCTAAATCACCCTCAATCCCATGCCTCCGTATTTTCTGCAATAGCCTACTGTGCGGAACCTTATCAAACGCTTTACTGAAATCCATATACACCACATCAACCGCTTTACCCTCATCCACCTGTTTGGTCACCTTCTCAAAGAACTCAATAAAGGTTTGTGAGGCATGACCTACCCTTCACAAAACTGTGTTGACTATCCCTAATCAAATTATTCTTTTCTAGATGATTATAAGTCCTATCTCTTATAATCCTTTCCAACGCTTTACCTACAACCGAAGTAAGGCTCACTGGTCTATAATTACCAGGGGTGTTTCTACTCCCATTCTTGAACAGGGGACAACATTTGCTATCCTCCAGTCTTCTGGCACTATTCCTGTAGACAATGACGACATAAAGATCAAAGCCAAAGGCTCTGCAATCTCCTCCCTAGCTTCCCTAGGATAAATCCCATTTGGCCCAGGGGACTTATCTATTTTCACACTTTCCAGAATTGCTAACACCTCCTCCTTATGAACCACTGATTTCCAACATTTTTTGTTCGGAAGTAATGCAGATGGGTTGCGAAACACTTCAAGTAGTCCAGAGACAGTGATAAGGAATGATCTATAAAGAAAATTCTTCATCTTTCAATAAGTTGCTTGTGTTGTTACCCAAACAATTGCAGCAGTTAGAATAGACTCATTCTGCTTATTTTAATGCCTTAGAACTGTACAGTTAGAAGTGAACTTACCTGGCCAAATGCAGAACAGCCTCCACCACATTGGTCCCATCTTTAGCACTTGTTTCACAAAACAATGCATTGTAAGTCTAGGGAAAGTCAGAATTGTTACAGCACAGGAAAAAAACTAATCAGTTCATTGAGTCCATTTCTAGTCATCACAAAAGCAATTCAGCCAGACCAACTCATCTGCCTTTTCCGCTCCCCCCCCGCCATAACCCAACCATTCTTCAGGCATTTAGCCAATTTTCTTCTGTCGACCATAACTGAATCACCACCATTAGATAAAACATTGTTAACATCCAATAGGTTCTCATGTCACCATCGTTTCTTTTGCCAATCACTTTCGATCAGTCCCCTCTGGTTTATGATGCTTCTGCCCACCAAGCCAGCACCAATTCCTGTTACTTATTTAGACCCACTGCTTATTGCCGATATGTGGTTTCTATCCCTTTGTTTGCCTCCCATTCATGTGTCTATCAAGATATGCCTTAAACATTGCTGATGTGCCTGCTTCCACCACTTCCACTGGCAGTGCATTCCAGGCACCCACCGCCCTGTGAAAAAAACTTCCCCCTCTCACCCTGAGCCTGTGCCCTCTTGTAGCTGACCTTTCCATCCTGGAAGAAAGCCTCTGCCTGTCTAGATTCTGAATACCTCTATCAAATTTTCTTCCATCCCTAAGGAGAACAGTCCCAAAGGTTTTGGAGTAAATTTGTAGCTCGGGTTGTGGGTGTTGAGGTTGGTTGGCTCACCGAGCTGGTTTGTTGTTTCGCAGTTTCTCGTGCCTGTCTCTGCCTAGCTTGTCCCAGGATTTTGGTGTTGTCCTAGTCGAAGTGGTGGTTCTCCTTGTCCACGTGGATTGAGATGAGTGAGTATTGTTAGTGTCTTTTTGTAGCGCTGTCCCAGCTTCTTCAATTTGTCCTTATAGGTAAAGTCCCTCACCCATGTATCCTATTTCAAATAATTTCCTGTGCCCTCTCAGAAGCCTTGCCATCTTTCCTAAAGATGTGGTGCCTGGAACTGGCCAGGTTAACAGATTTATTTGTACACAGGTTAATCTACAATCTACATCACAACTACTATGAAAAGGTTAACTCAATGTCAATGTGAAACCAGACTGCTGGACTAAGTGTTCTCAAAAGCAGCCATATGATCATAACAACAATGAAAATGAACTACTTAAACATCATTTACCTGAAAAAGAGTTCTGTATTAGTGCCAGTTCGTTTGGAAAAAGTTTTAAAATTTCATTTCTAGTTTGTGTTAATGACAATATATATTTATAGCACGATAAATCTCACCATTGCTAGTTTCTCTCCATGGGCAGTCAGCACAGTGCCACGCTGTGTAGGAGACATTTCATTTCTCAAATCTATTTTATTTCCAATTAAGATAATTGGCGTTGGGAAGTCAGTAGAACTCTGAAAAATACATTATGTATTTGTCATAAGCATATTACTGAACTGGTTTTGCATGCCCATATATAATGAAACCTGCATATTGGGAGGAACCAACATGAGCTGTCGATGCAGCAGGGAAAAAAGCAGCTCCCTATTTCACCAAAACAATGTGTCACAGAACTCACTGTTCCCTCTTGTTCATCTGCATGGTCATATTGGGGTCATAAAAACACACATTTGAAGGCTGTCTATAATTTGCAGGGTCTAAAAAGATTTGAGTGCCTCTTTCAAGTTATTTGGATCAATCAAGAAGTATCTGCTTATACAGGTTTCACCATATAGAAGATTTTTGGAAAAAAAAAGTTCCTGATATTAAGTCATAGATTTGTTTAAGGGAACAGATCGTAAATAGTTTTGTTGCACTGGTGACAATAGTATCATGTATCACCATCCTGGTTCAGGCAGGGAGTACTATGCTCCACACACCAACACAACACGAGAGGGACATGAAGTTTCATCTGGTACCATTTCATCTTCAGGACATTCTAAAAGTACCTCACATCTTACGGATTACTTCTGTTACATAGATAAACTTAGCAACCAAGTTATAGAATGCAAGATGCCACTGACAGAAAATTTGATAAAATGTAACTTTCTAGCCTTGGCACAAGATCTCCTGCCCAAGTAATAATGTTAAGAATTCATGGTTGATTTCAGATTTGAGCATGCAATCTAATCCAGCATTTCAGTTAATGCCCCACCTGCCCTCTCAGGTTGACATAAAAGGATCTTAGAATCATTAGAATGAGCACATTGCAATAGCAGCACCAGCAAATAGCTGTAGCTCAGCAAACATTTTCTCTTCAGCTGTTTAATCAATTCCAATTCAAAACCACTCGAATCTGCTTCCACTGTACCGTCAGAAGTACGATCAGGATTCTAGCCACCTGCTGTGCAAAAAGGTTTTCTTTAAGTTGCCTTTAGTTCGCTCTCCAGGTCTCGGGAGCTAAGTCTGCTGGTTTTGACCCGAGGGGGACATTGGCGTGTAGGTCGATTCTGCCCTCACTGGACATCCAAGTACAGTGTCGAACACTGGAGTCTCTGAAGAGTGAGCAGGAACTGACCTTTTACTTCCACTGCTGGGTATCCAGGCAAACTGCACTGTGCTTGATATCATCCAACTCAAACTAAACTAGTTCCAAACAGAACAGCATGACCCTGGAAGCTTTCTCCATTAGTAGAAGACCTTTAACACACAGCAACAGGAGCACTAGTGTAAAAATAGATTCATCCTTTCTGACCCATCTGTAGCTTTTGCACATTTGTACATCATTGCATTCAATATCCCATACTTACTGTGCAGCTGGGTGGGACTTCTCTTCCCCAATCCCATTCAGCTAGAGGAAAGCAACCCTTGCTCCTCCAATCTATCTAGCCATGTAACTAAAGACCTCTATGCATGTAAATCTTCTCCACACACTCCCCAAAGCCTTCACATCCTTCCTGAAGTGTCAGGGAATTGGATCAATCCTCCAATTATAGCTCAATTAGTGGTCAACATGATGTCCTTGCTCATGTTTGATGATTCTATTTAAGAACCCAGGAATGAAATTCACTTCCTTTAAAAACCTCCTGCTCAACTTGCCCTGCTCTCCAACAACTTATGCACACATACTCCAGACCTCTGTTCCATCATGTTTAGAACATCACCATTTGTGTCACCCCTGTTCACCCCCTCTACAAAATTCATTATGCTGCATTTCTCTACACTGAATTTCATCAGTCTACATCCCCTTGAAAGTGATCACTACCCTTCTCTCAGTTCACTAGTTACAATTTTAACGTCACCTGCAAATTTTACAATTGTGAATGTGCACACAAGGCCAAGTTGCTGTTATATTAAGGGAAACAGTAAATCATGTACCAACCCCTGCAGAACCCTCTAGCCCAAAACGCAAACTTAGTCACTTCTCTGTTCTTCAGCCAAGTTTAATCCCAAGCAGCCAGGTCCTCTTATTCACCAAGGTTTAAAGCCGTTGACAACCTCATTATGGGATTTCTCAAAACACCTTTTTGGAAGATTATGTAAACATCAGCCATATTACTTCATCAATCCTTTCAAAACCAACTCCAGCAAGTTAGTCATATACGATTTGCCTTTAACAGGCCCAGGCTGGCTTTTTATTTTTTTGTTTAATCTGCCATTGTCCAGCTGACTATTAATTTGTTCTCCAAAAGCTTTCCTCCACCAAGGTAAATTGATTGGCCTGTAGTTGCTGGGTTAATTCTTACACCCTTGCTCAAAAGGATTCTCCAGTCCTCTGGCACCAACTTGCCATGCAAGGCAGATTGGAAAGTTATAACCAGCACCTCCGCAGTTTCCATCCTTCAACAAGCGTGGGTCTATTCTTGGTGGTTTATCAAGATCTACACACCTCCAGCCTTTCTAATGACCTACTCATCAAATCTTAGCCCATCCAGCATGCCAACTATATCCCGTCCCCACCTTCATTAGTGACTTTGGTAATATCTTATTGTTCGTAAAGGCAGATACAAAGTATCCATTTAGCACGTCTACAACGCCCCTGCCTCCGAGGAACCTTTTTAGTTCTGAGTCAGATTCATTACTCCTCTTATTTTTACTATTCATACATCTCAAAAATTAAAATTCTGTTTTGCATTGGCATTAATCTCACGGCACAATTTGAAGTATCCTGGACAATATCAATTTGTCAAACCAATTTGACGTGAGATTATTTGACGATTGTGCTGTTTGTCTGATCTTGCAGTGTGAATCGTTTAAAAAGAAATTTATTTTCAAAAATTAATTCATTAACTGTTGAGTACTTTGGGATAGCCTGAAGATCTGAAAAGTATGGTATAAATACAAGACTCTCCTTTAAAATGTCCAAATATTGGATTTTTTTTTATAGCAATTGCTCTTAAAGTGTCAGAAATTCCAGGTGAAGGAGGACATCATGGAAGAGAAGTCAATTTTACATCTTGAGAATAGTTTAGGAAACCCTGGTTACTGTCACTAAACACTTAATCAGTTCGATTTATCGCTACCTGTATTGCATTGTTTTGGCAACTCTACCCTGTGTTGCGTGTTTATATTCTGTGTTTTATATCTTTATATACATCACACAGCTATGCTGTTACCTACACTGTAGTAGAGTTCATAATTATAGTTGAGGAAACCACACACTTTGCACAATATTAGGCACCCATTCTAATCTGCTAGTCACCCCATTCAGAGGAGAAGAGTAGGTAAGATAATCTCAGGAAACTGAACATTTTAGAAGAATTGAAAATTATATAGAGTTAGAGGATGAACAAAGAACTTCAGTCAGAACAAGAGCATTATAATAGTCATGGATGATTGGACGAAATCAAGGTAAGGGTAACGTGGAAAATGCATTTGCAGAATTCGTTGGCGATCGTTTCTAAGAGCCATATGTTGTAGAACCTACCCAGGAACAGGCTGTTTTAGATCAAGTAATGATGTAGGATTAATAAGGGATCTGAGAGAGAGAAGGATATTATTGGGGCAGGGGGTGATTTAGTTTGATGGAGTGTAAGATAGGTACCCAGGGTCCTCGACTTAAGGTAAATTACAAAAGTTTGACAAAAGCATTGTTTAAACCGTGCTAGGAAAATAGACCAAGTTGAAAGTCGGTGGAGGATCAGTGGCAGATATTTAAGCAGATATTAGCTCAGAAAGAGAGAGTTCTGGTCAAAAAGGATGATACAGTGAGAAGGACCATGGATCATCTGTGGTGAACAAAAGTTAGTCAAGAAGACCATCCAATCAAAAACTAAGGCATACAAAATGACAAAAACTCATGGTAAGTCAAAGGCTATTGAAATCTACAAAAAGGAAGAAACAACCATTGGCAGTACAGACTTGATAAGCCGAAGGGGCCTCTTCTGCACTGTATGATTCAAACTCCCAAATTCTCTTGAGCTTTTTGGACGCGTACAAGATAGAAGCTAAATTGAATGTGGAATCCTTGGAGATCAGAGGATGAAATGGGGAAAGAAGAGAAACGGCAGATAATTTAAACCAATATTTTGCTTCATTCTTCAGAGGAAGACACTGTAAAAATCCCAAAGATAATCAGATAGTTAAGGAACGAAAGGGAGGAAATGTCTTGTAACAGTATCTATCAATTAGGGCACAGTGTTTGACAAATAAAAGCGGCTGAAGGCAGACAAAGATCACCAGAGCCTGATGTCCTGTATATAAAAGGTTTTAAAAGTGATTGCAGAGATAGTAGAGGCATTGGTTGTAATATTCTAGATTACATTGGATTCTGGGAGGGTTCCAAAGATTGCAAAATCACTAATATGATGCCTCTGTTCAAGAAGAGAGGGACAGAAAGCAGGAAACTATAAGCTAGTTAGCCTAGCATCTGTCATTGGGAAAATGACAGCGTCCATTAAGATTGATATAGTAGGACAGTTAGAAAAGCTAATGCAATCATAGTCAATGTAATCTAGTGAAAGGGAGATCATGTTTAACTAATTTGCTAGAGTTGATAAAAGAAGACCAGTAGATGTAATGCATTTTAATTTCCAAAAGATACTCATTGAGGTATCACAAAAGATTATTACACAAGACACCAGCTCACAGTATTAGGGGTAATGGATTAGCACAGATTCAGGATTGGTTAACACACAGAAGGCAGGGTTTGGAGTAATGGGCTTTCTTAGTTGGAAATACATAACTAGTGGAACGTCACAAGGATCAGTTCTTGGGCCTCAATTATTTTCAAACTGACAACAACATGGAGGCAGAGGTAGAATATAATGTATCCAAATTTGCTGACATGGAAAAAAAATATAGGCGAGGGGACATTTTACAATGAGGGACACAAGGAATCCTTAAGGGGATATAGACAGGTTGAGTGAATGGCAAAAAAAAACAAAAAAAAAACCTGACATATGGAGTTTAAATGTAGGAAAGTGAGAGGTCACACAATTTGATCGGGAGAATCAAACCTGGGACAGATCAGCCAAGGTCCTGTTGAACAGCAGGACAGGCTTGAGGATCAAAATGGCCTTCTACTGCTATTTCTGATGGAACTACAAACAGATAATGTAATCCAAGAGGAAGCTTGATCACAACAGTGGCTTAAGTGAAGGACCATATAAACTTGAAAACACCCACTGCCAATAACAGCCTAAATGGAAAACCAACAGCAAAGCTGAGAAATTTTGTTCAGTCAACAAGAGGTGTACCTTAATTTCGTCAATCCACTCTCGGACATTCAGAAAACTATTCTCTGAAGTCACATCGTACAATAATAACACACCATGTGCTTTTCGGAAATAGGATTTGGCAATACTGCGAAACCTGACAGAAAAAAAAAAGAAAAATGCTGTGGTCACCACTGAGCATTGGATCTACATGGAAATGGATTCATATTGTAGAGAGTCAAAACTGATTTATCCATATTGTCCACCTACAGCAAGCAGCATTGTTACAGATATGCACTTTAAAAAAATTGCTAAATTAAAAGAGGCAGTGACAAAAAAGGTAAAACATGGAACAAAGTTGGTATGACCTGCGCTCAATTCTGCCTGACAACAAACTTGGTTGTAAGGGTTAGAAGGCTTCATTTACTGGGAACAATGTATGTGCAGATTTCTCACCGAAGCAAAAAAAACCTTTGACCAAAAGTCAAGCTTCTCCCATAGAAAGAAAGATAACCCTTAAAACACAAAAGGGTGAATTTTCATCTTCACCACAGCAGAAACTTGCTATCACCCAATCGTTTCTGATAAATTCACTTACTCATTTTATTTGAATGAAATAGACCAGGTTCTGTTGAAAACTGGGATTGGTACAGTTCTAGCCTGATCTGCAGCCTCCAGTTGGGCAACTTATTATAATAATGGAGATTTGTGACACGTTGGTGGAACAAGTAAGTATTTTGTCATTTACTCTATGTTTGTACGCAAAAGAACAGCCACTGGGTTTCTCACTTTAAACAGTCACCTTTACCTCTCCTGCCCAGCAGTGTCCCAAATCTGTAATGTGGCACTTTCACCATCGACCAATAACTTCTTCATTTGAAAATCAACTCCTAGAGACAAACAAACAGATTATATTGATAAACAACTGCCAATGCTAGAAAAATCAAACAAAAAAAAAAAAACAGAAATTGCTGGCAAATGTCAGCACATCTGACAGCACCTGTGGATAGAAAGCAGAGTTAACAGAGTCCAGTGACCCTTATTCAAAAACATTTCTTTCAAAAGTTCTAATCCTAATGTTGAAAATAAAAGTTTAAAAAAATGAAAAGTTTACTAAAATATGATAGATGAGATCACTAACATGGTCCGTATAATTGGGCAAATTATTCTTGTAAATGGGGACATAGCAGCGTAGCAGGCATTTCAACCTGAAGAGATTGCTCAGTCATTTAAATGATCATGGTTGATCGCACTTCTACGCCTTTTACCCAGACTATCCCCATAATATATTTGTCAAGTCAGAAATTTATTTAATTTCTACTTTAAACATACTCAAAGATTGAGCTTCGATAGCCCTTTGAAACAGAATTTCAAAAATTCACCTCTCAGTTTAATGTATTCTCCTAATCTTGGTCCTAAATGGCACTGCTTTTTTAAAAAAAAAATAAATAAATAAATAGGGTAAATGCGGTTGGGTTGGAGAGCCTAGAACCAGAGGGCACCCTATCTATCTCCAAGTATTATTTTCTAGGGTTCAATGAGATCACTTCATTCTTTGAAACTCCTCAGAACACAGGCCCTGTTTGCTCAGTCTCTCTTCACAGGACAATCCCAGCATTCCAGGAACTCCTTTGGTGAACATTGGTTGCATTCCATCCAGGTGGAGGAGGAGTATTAATTCTTAAGTGGGAATCACCAGCCAGCCAGCAGGTCACTATCAAAACAGTGGGGAGGATACTTCAGCGACTTATAATGGTTTTGATACAACAGAGTGGTTGCTACAGCGAAACATTAAGAGTTGTGGGACTGGAATCAGATATAGATCAGGAAAGGACAGGTTTCCTTTCCTAAAGCAGTTAAGTTTTTTCATGACAAGGAGAGACTTATGGTTACTTTTACTCATGAGTTTCTATTACTTCTGTTAAAAAAAATATGAACACAAATTCTCAAATCTGTATTGTGATTTGAACTCGTGTCCTGCTGCATTCCTAGCAGTGCTAGTGGACTAAACTGTCCCACCCAAAGTTTAAAAAAAATCTTGTGACCTACAATTGCCAGTTTTGCAATCATCCTGTGACTGAGCTTACAGTCAACAGAGAAACAGACCCTTCAGCCCAACTCATCCATGCTGACCTGGTTTGCTAAACTTAACTAGTCTCATTTGTCCATGTTCGGCCCGTATCCCTCTATGCCTTTCCTATCCAAATGTCTCAAAATATTGTAACTGTACTCACCTCTACCACTTCCTCCCCTTAATAATATTTCCAACTCAATCCATTCTGGAATAAAATCTAATGAACAAAATTAGTTTGGTATAGGTGAACCCCACCCACACGAATAAAGTAAACTCCTGGGCTAACAACTTCTGGCTGTTGCTGTCGGGGAAAAAAAAAAAAAAATCCCAAAACATGTGGCAATTCAGTTTGCTCAACAGCAAAGTAGGATTATTGTAAGGGTCTAAACTAAGTCAAATTACATTTTATATTAAACACTTTCATATTAATAAAATATACAATTAGCAGAATATAACATGAGATAGGAAGGATAAATGTCCCAACTTTAATCTCAAGTTCCTGATTGCCTAGAAACAGGGTTGGTAAAGATGAAAACCACTGAGATATGGAAAAATCTGGGGTAACTTACCTTGTATATATTTCTGTCCCAGCAGAGGGGAACAAATCATTCTCATTTCTGAGAATGACATCACTGGGTAGAGCTCCTGGAACAGTTGAGGTACATTGGTGCTACGGTAATGGGGCATTGTGTCACTACATCACTTCCTTCATTTTCCTAGTCTTCACTAGGCCCACAGGAAGTTGGAAAGCATGCAGAAGGGTCCAAAAGCAGATGGCCACCTGAACAAGAGGCTGCACTTTTATGGCAGCTCAGCGGTTAGCACTGCTGCCTCACAGCGCCAGGGACCCAGGTTCAATTCCACCTTCGGGCAACTATCTGTGTGAAGTTTGCACGTACTCCCCGTGTCTGCGTGGGTTTCCTCCCATAGTCCAGAGATGTGCCGGTTAAATTGTTTAGCTATGGGAAATGCAGGTTACAGGGATGGGGCAGGGGTGTGAATCTGGATAGGATATTCTTCAGACAGTCGGTGTGTCGGACCTGCTTTGGCACCATAGGGATTCTATGACTTCAGCAAAATAGACCCATTACAAAGGCTCGAGCCTGATGTTATCAATGGGTTCAGGCAGTCTGGGGCAGATTTTGCTTTAAAGGTGTGCTCTATCAGACTTGTGCTCTGGTTTGCGAAGAGGTTCGTAAGAGTTAATGAATCTACGAAAAGGGTTAAATAAGGTTTTCTATGTTCACAATAGAACTAAAAAAAATTTAAATGGTGCATTAGGCTCATCTGGCTTTAAAAAAAAAACCATTATCAGCAGGAACCTTGTAGAAAGTTTTTGGAAACCATTAAAACTTAACTGGTTAGGAGACAAAGTGGAGTCGGGGTGAGGTGGGGGCGGTAGTGGTGGCAGAGAGTCAAGAATGAGTGGAGAATGAAGAGAGAACAGAATAAACAGGCAAGGGCTAGAATAACATCAATTGATCCCGGTCTGTCTGACTGAAGATAGACACAATAATCTGTTATCTCCTGTTCTATCGAATTGTACTGGCAAATTTGAAATTCACAGAAGTTACTAAGATGTATAAATGGATGAATTTCTTGTATTCAGGAGAATTTTTATTCTAGCTCGTCTACAGTGCAGGTTTTCCCTGCACATGCTTAAATGATCAAAAATCTGTACTTAAGGCCCCTGTGATCGATTATTAGAAGGAGCCATGCCCCAGTAGTTTGTGAACATATTGAAGGCAAGTCCACTTCAAAAATCATTATTTTAAAGTCAGGCAGTTGCAAAAGGTAAATATCTTACCTAACGTAGTAGGAATATGCCCTTTGAACTCATTCATACACAGACGCAATAAAAAACTGGATTTTCCTGAACCAGCATCCCCAGCAAGGACAAGTCTGTACAGTGGGCCATCTGGTTTGGCGTTCTCTACTGCATTACCCGTGTTCTGAAAATACAAACAACACATTCATTGCTGAATGCACATCAAACCTAGATTCTTTTAACTTTCCTTTTGTGAAGTTTAAAGTCCGAGATCAGAATAAGTAACAATATTGGAATTCTATCACCATTGAATTGCCTTTTTAAAAAAAGGAAGCGAGAATTTCAATGAGATTAGTAGGTCAGAGATTAGGTAGGGCATCCAACACAAATGAGCTGCTGGTCTCAGTTAATTTCTCCCATTGATCGTGATCCCTTGAATCAGTGTAGGAGATGAAATATGGATGTGTTGTGATCATGTGCAGGGATACAAGTGGACAGTAGCGGGATGATCTGCTCAGGGCATTTTACAGCAAACTCAAAAAAAATGTTGAGTCATACATCATGCAGCTTATATTTGGATGTTCCAAGGAATGCCCAAAGTTTAACAGTCTGGAAATGAATAAGTGATTCTGAACACTTCAGAATTCTCCCCGCCCTGGAGATGGTGAGTGGGGGAGGGGGGGTAAACAGGGGACGTAATCTGACCAGTTGGCCCAAGAGAGATACTTACCCCTTTCCTACCACCTCATCAAATTAAGTCCTGGGTAATAAGGTTCACTTGGGCTCTCAATCCAGCCTCGATTAAGGCACTTTGGTGGCTAATCAATGGCCACTTAATAGATTTGCAATTTACAGTCACTTGCATTTATGAAAATAATGAAGTGTGTATAAGTCACCACATTTGGTGCCATTTTAATTACAGAAATTATAAAAATAAATAATGGAGACAAAAGTTAGTCTTCTGTTCGCTCCACGGCTCCTGGGTTTCTGCAGTGGCTACAGGATGCCGCTTCCAAAGAGTGGATTACTGGATTGCTGTAGCCGACAGCAGAGCCACTGCATCACCGCCATAGCAAGGAGGGACAGACCCGACCAACCATGTCACCGATATTGAAGCCGCCCTCTCACTTAAGGGACTCTGAGTGGAACCTCTCTTTTCCCCTCTCAACTGGTCAGAGTTGTTAAATTTCAATTTTTCTCCTCCCTCAGGAGGTCACATGGTTCTGACTGGGTTGGGGGTTGGATTGGAATATATTGTGATGCTCAAGGTATCGGCATAGTGTGTGGGGAAGGGCTGGATGGAGGGTCTTTTCTCAGTCATCACTGGGGAGTTACCTTGGAGGTGAATGCTGGCAGACGTCTCCTGGAAGAGGCTATCGAGCTGGAACGGCTGACGGGCCGTGATGGTTTCCGGATTCCAGGCAATCCATCCACCTCAGATTTAAACTCTGGCATCTAATAGGAACACAACCAGATAAATATCCAACTGTCCTGGTCCACACTATACGAAGCAGAGAGATCATTACAAACATCAAGAGCACAACAGAAATATATTCACTTCTTACAAGATCACATTTCCTTTGGCCACTATTACGTGAATCCCAATGTTTTTCTAACGGCTTCTTGTCCCAGAGTGTTTTCCTGAGCCTAGCTCAACACGTTCAGTATCTTGTCTACAATTACACCTCTAATGTGCTAAAACTGCAAGTGAACGGTATCAAACAAACTTTGGACGGTGATCTAGATAAGGTGATAAGGATGGTGATCAAACGCTTTGTCAAAGTGATATATGTTCTAAGGAGCATCTTAAAAGATGAGAGATGGAGAGTTAGAGATAAATGTCTAGGCTACGTCTATCCTATGTCTAGAATAATTATCTTGGTTAGCTGAAGGTACACAGTAGTTGATGTTGGAGCACTGAAAATTGTACATTTAGAAAGGATTGAAATTGAAGCAAAGACATGGCTCTGGAGGAGGTAGAGAGACAGGGATGGGCAAGGCCATGGAGAGATTCAAACAAAAGAGGATTTTAGACTCAGTGGTGGACTAGTCACTAGTGAGCACGGGGAGTAAGAGATGATCAGGACATGGGGAACGTTGAGGTACAGGTAGCCGGCTATAGGATAGGTTTAGCTTTATAGAGGGTTGACTGAGACAGGAGTGGACATGGAATGACTGTGGAAATAAAGTGAATGGAGGCAGTTTAGTGATTGAGGGGTTGAGAGGTTGAGAAGCTCAGCTCGAGGTCCAAGTTGTGAACCATATGGTTTGAGGCGGGGGGATAAGGAACATGTATAATGGTACACATCAAAACTAATGGCTTTGATCTTCAAATATTTAATTAGGAACAAGGACCTAAATCCAGTTGTAGAATTACATTTGAAGTTTACATTTGAGAAAAAAACATCTTAAAATTGAATGTGTTAATCCTGGGTGCCCCTCACCATTTGCCTGAAAACAATAAAGACCTCATTATAGGAAGAGCCACAAATGCAAAATGATCACAAACTTGCCATAGCTGTAAGAGCACCCTACTTTGATTGTGTGCAGAACCAGTTTGCATGGATAATATTGCATAATTGAATCTAGGATTTGGGGCCGCTAGATTTTAACCTCGACTGTTACATAGTTTTACAGAAATGTAGAAGTTCATACTCAGGAGGAGTTACCTGGAAATGTAGAAGCAGGCAGATGATCGAGTAACATTTATATCAAAATCAAAATCACCCAGATTTGTTGGTTATGAAGTGTTGGTGCTATATGTACCTTCAAAAAAAAAACAAAAAAGGGACCACGTGTTGCATGTATTCCATGTTGCAACTCTGCCTGATAATCTGCAAGTTGCTGACACAAAAATCAATTGATTTGCTCTCGTGTTTGCCTTAACCTACATGTTAGACTGTTTAGAAATAATCTAACGACAGAATTAATCAGTCCCGGAAATCAACTAAAAACTAGACCATTAGCATTAACACGACTATTTTCTGACAAACCTAAATCTACAAAATCAAGCAGATTCCAAAGATACAGCTTACCGATATATAGCAACTCTTCAGAGTAGAAAAATGCGAAGCTGTTGTATCTACCTTGTGACTAGTGACAGATTTTTGCAACTGGTTGTCATTAATGAGAGAAAAGTTTGAACAGCTTTTGTATGAAACCTCTGAGCGAATGCGGAATTGTTCATGTCCTGGAGTGAGGCATCTCACTGACCAGTTAAACATTACTTCCCCTCCCTTCAGCAGAATTTTTTTTGATCCTATAATTGCTGGAAGTGAAAGCTCATAATAAAGGGAGACAAAGCTGCTGTGACCTTGGTGATCAGTGGGGTGAAGAGCGTATTCCTGAGTTAAAGGATTAAAAAATAAATGGGAAGCACTGAAAAAAATGTCAACTAAAGGAATGAACACAAGGGAAAACGAGGTGCAGAAAGAAATGAAAGATGACTGATTGAGTGAAGAAAAAAAAACAGCAGAAACATAAAACAAAAAAGTTAACATTTAAAACATTCATTCACTATAACAACATAATCTCCCTGTAAAGTGAGTCATATGCGAGATGACATTTTCAAAAGATAATGACAGATCAAAAAACTGTCAATTAACTTATGATAATTCAACAGGCTTCATTTTATCATAAATTGCTGAGCAACTCATTTTTATTAAATTTAGTAGATCCTTGTGATACAACCTTAGCCACATGTACTAAAATCTCTTCATTCATCAGTAACATACACTGTTACTCCACCAAGGTGACCATGCTAGCTGTGAAAATTAAATTCAAGACCCACAAACCTTTGGACAGGACAGAATAGCACACTTATGGTCAGAAAGCATGGTAAATATGACAGATAGCAGTGGGAAAGAGCAAAGAATCGAAAAGAAAAAAGTTCCCCATGGAATCCATTGTGGAAAGGAAAGAATGCAACACTGGAGAATTTCTTCAGCTCAGTTTGGAGGTTCAAATAACAAACAAACACTCTTGAAACTCATCGTCTTTTGAAAACTACAGAATTAGCCCTGTTTGGGGGCAGGGGGTGGGGGTGAACACTCCAGAATGCCTGTAACTCAAAAAACCCTTCTAAACAGGTCAGCTCACCTCAGCATCTGATGCCACGTATGAGTAACTGTAGTGCATCGTTTCATGAGAATCATTGCTTCCATCACTGTTGTAATCATCCGAGGAATAATCCACCATGTCCTGAGACGTGGAGACACCGCTGTCCAGGTATCGGTCTGCCCAGTTTGCCACTTCAGAAATCCTCTGTCTGGAGTCATCACTATTTAAGATCATGGATTCTTCATTGCCGTTCAAAACACTGCACACAGAATTACATACAATATACAGCACAGAAACAAACCTTTAGAATCAACTAGTCTGTGCTGGTTTTGATACTTGATCCCATTTAAAATTTACCTCATCAACATTTTATCATCTTTCTAAATCCTTTTCTTTCACATCCTCTAGTTTCTACTTTCTTCTTTTCTCTTTAATTGGATCTCTTCAAAATCTACCCCGTCCAAACAATCTGCTAATTTATAGACCTCAGTCAGGTCACCTTGATGTCTTCTCTTTTTTAAAGAAGAAAACCCCTGTTGAATCTCTCAATGGCTGTAATCTCTCAGTTTTGGTACCATTACTGTACTTTCTCTCTCCTCCTCCTCCTCCTCCTCCTCCTCCTCCCCCCCCCCCCCAATGAATTTACATCCATTTTTCATTATGAAGTCAAAACCTGCGTACGATACTACAAGAGTTCAATACACATCAAATACAGATTCACCAATTTTGAACTCTACCCTCCTAGAAACAAACCCAGTGCTGTGTTTGCACTTTTAATTCTATTTGAAGAGTGCAGATTAATACAGGCCACATCGGTTTCACCAATTTCATTATCACATGCAACAGGTTAGAAAAGAAACAGTTCTTACAATTGGGAATTCTGGTACATCAGAAAATGCCCTTGACTCCTATGACCAGGACAGAGTTCAACTCAGACAAAAGGGGTTGAAGCCTTTTTTCATTGACTGGATGTAAATAAGCTTGGGTATTACCAAATCAAATCAACAAGTTTGGAAAGAGGGTACAGGAATGCAATAAATGAAAGCCTAATAGTGAGGACCAATCTCATACAGATCTCTATTTATAGGCCTCATCTCTGGCCCTCTGCTTCACAATAGCTCAACTAGTCCCTATATACACATTACTTCCTCTCTTTCTCTCCAATAAATTTATTTACACAGTCTAGCTTCTGTTTCTGTATCAGCCCCATATACAAATATGTATCATGCCCAGATGGGAATTCTGTATCTTAACAGAACTTCACCCAGGGTGAAAAGGGCAGAACACCAGTCTGACAGCTAGTTCTGAACCCATGTCCTTTTTGGGGGTGAGGGCTGACAACCCCACAGTGTATATTCACCATTAACCTTATTTCCACTACAAACTGGCCTGACTTTGTCCAGCTTTACACCACGTAAGCTATTTGTAAATTTGCTGTGTTTGTCCACCCTACTTTTGTTTTCCTCTGTTGCCTTGTTAGGATGGCTTTTTGCATGAGTTAACAAGAACCAAGAACCAAGAACCAGAACCTGCATTATTCACTGCTCATTTAACGTGACTACCAGCAACTGGAAACACCAGTTAGAACATTATTTTATCTTGTACTTTTGGTTTGCTTCTCCTTCATTTCCCCAGAACAGGTAGTGCACACGTTACAAAAGGTTAACATGCAGGTAACAGCCTGAAGACTAATGGGATACTGATGAGAGAAATTGAGACACAACATCTTTAACTTTTATGTTTATACGGGGTTCTGGTTAGACTGTATCTTGAATACTGCATGCAGTTTTGGTCTTCTTAAAAGGAAGGACACCAATGCTTGGAGGTGGATCAGAGAATCCCTACAAAATGCAAGCAGGCCATACTGCCCATTGAATCCAACCCAAACCCATCCCCTTACCCAGTCACCTGTGACCCTGTATTTCTACATTCATCGACACAATGGGCAATTTAGCATGGCCAATCCACCCTAACCTGCGCATCTTTGGAGAAGATTTACTAGATTGATACCTAGAATGAGCAAGTGCCCTATGAGGGTAGTTTGGACAGACTGACAGTTTGGAATGACATTGCCAGCCTACTACGTCTCCAACGTTTTCATTAGTTTCATATTTTCAACAGTTCAGCATATCTTTACTGAAATAATAGCAACAGTAGTTGCCATACCTGTTGTAGCCAGTGTCAGCTACTCCATTTTGTATTTCTGATTTCATTCCTCTCTCCAGAACAGATCCATTTACAGAGTACTACAATTAAAAAACAAGCCAACCCTTTAGGAATTATTTTTTCCTGAAACGCCAGACAATTAGTAAGACCAGATGCCAATATTTCGATAACAATAATAACAGTAATCAGTCATTCATCACAGCCTTTAGGGATCTTTTGTTTTACACATGGGACATGGACATTGTTGGATGACCAGCCCATTCCTAGCGCCCTTGAGGTGGTGTTGTGATGCCTTCTTTAACTGTTGTAGTCCATTTGCTATGGGTAGACCCACAAGACCATAAGGGAAGGAATTCCATGATTTTGACCCAGTGACACTGTAGAAAGAGTGATAGGTTTCCAATTCAGATGGGGAATGGTTTGAAAGGGAACTTAAGTGGAGGTGTTCCTATGTATCTGCTGCCCTTGTCCTATTAGTTGGTGGTGGTAGTGGGTTTTAAAGTGTGCTGTTTAAAAGGAGCCTTGATGCATTTCTACAGCATATCCTGTAGGTAGTACACACTGCTGAGCATCGGTGAGGGAGGGAGTGGATGTGGCACCAATCAAACTGGTTGGTTTGTTTTGGGTGTTGTCAAACTTCTTGAGTGTTGTTGGAGCTGCACCCATCCAGGCAAGTGGACAGTATTCCATCACACTCCTGACTTGTGCCTTGTAGATGGTAGCCAGGCTTTGAGGAATCAGGTGAGTTACTCACACTACAGGATTCCTGACAGAGAGAAGATGCCAACGTGCAAACAAGTCACTGCATCTGCATCGCACTGGTTCAAAACAAATTAATGAATGTTCTGACAAAAAAAAAAGTTTTTTTTAATTTCTCCTTTGCATCTACAGTAACCTCTTTACCCTGCAACACTGCCATTATGAACTGTTGCTGATAAATTATTTTATTTGAACAAAATTCGGATTCTTCAGTGATTTCAATCATCAGGTATTACTGCCAGGAAACAAATCAATTTTGTAGTCAAGTTTCATTTTTAAAACATACCTTATTTTTATTGGAGCTGTGATTCCTTTCCAAAGCAGTTCTTAATCCATTATTACTATCGTAAAGAGCTTTGTTGGCCTCTCTAAAAATACAGAGAAGGGAAGGTTAACAACAGACCATTGAAAACTCTGATTTCTCTAATCTATTCATAAAGCAAGTTGTTTTTGACATGGACAATAACAACATGCATTTATCTCAGTTCTGAATAAAGGGCTTAGTTAACTGATTCTCTCTCCAGACACTACTTGACCACTCGAGTATTTTCAATTTTTATTATGCATTTCAACAGCATCTTTGGGATTTTTACAATGTCAAAGCATTTCACAAAAGAACGATCAAACAAAACCAGACAGGAGCCATAGAGAAATATTGGGAAAGGTGACTACAATCTTGGACAAAGTGGGTGATTCTAAAGGAATGCCTTAGAGAGAGGGGAAAAAACAAAATGGTGACAGAAAACAGGAACAGGAGTAGGCCATTTGGCCCTTCAAGCATGCTCTGCCTATCAATAGTGATCATGGCTGATCATCCAACTCAGTTCCCCGTTCCGGTTTTCTCCCCATACCCTTTGATCCTTCAGTCTCAAGGCATCCAATGTTTTCTTGAAAACATTCAATGTTCTGGTCTCAACTGTTTTCTGTAGCAGAGAATGCCACAGGCTCTCCACTCTCGGGGTGAAGTAATTTCTCCTCATCTCAGTCCTAAGTGGCCCACCCTAAATTCCTAGGCTGCAACCCCTAGTTCAGAACTCCTAGTCAGCAGAAATATCTTTCTTTTGTTTACCCTGTCTAGTCCGGCTAGAATTTAGAATAGAAATTTATTGTCATATGTACTTTTACGTGAAAAAGTTTTAGAAGTCACCCCACCACAGCGCCTACAATGACATTTTTTTTTTTTTTTTAAAAAAAACGTAGTGTTAAGTTAAGACAAAACTCACAGTTAACAGCTCCTGGGCTTGGGAAAGCCAATTAAAGGAACGATGGAATACCCTGAAGACGCAGCCAGGACAAGACCGTCGTGCCAGGCCACTGGAATAATGATGAGAACCCCTGATGTTTTTCTAAACTCCAGCAAAGAGTCTAAACCAATCCAATATCTCTGCGTAGTGCAGTTCTGCCATCCCAGAAATTAGTCTGGTAAACCTCCACTGCACTTCTTTCAGAGGGGTTTAAGGAGGGAATTCAAGAACATGGATTTGATAGCTGAATGCAGAGGAACGCTGAAAACTGACGTTTTGTCAGAACGTTCAAAACAACCTGCGATTGTACTTTGCCAGTCTCATTTCTGATTTTTTTTTTCTTCTTCCTAAAGTAAAATCTAAAGTGGTGAATTACCCAGAGACTTATTTTTAAAAAAAAAAATGTAAAGTGAATTGTATGGCACAGTAGGGTATTGACTCCTACGCACTATCAGGCAGCCACCTCCACATTGCATTGCTACAGCTACTCAATGTCATTTCTACCAGCACAGTGATTGCCATGAATTAGCTGTCGTGCAGTCAGATTGTGAGGAAAAAAAAGCAGAAAAAGGACAAAGTACACAATAGCTCAAACAAAAGGAGTAACATTCCATTTTATCTGAAAAGAACATTTTAGATAAATATTTAACAGTCTCAGTATACATTTCTAGGCTGAAAAACAATTTTAAATCCTTCAAATAAAATAGAACCTACTGAAGCATCTGTATCTGATTTGTGGAAATTTCATTCTCTTCAGTTAGTTTCTGGATTGTTTCCTTTGTCCTGTTGAGGAGACAATTGTTAAAACAAAGCTCAAATGGAGTCTTTCCCCTGCAACAATAGAACTCAGTAATATTGTGTGAATAAGACTGGATATCCCCCCCTTCTGTTTTAGGTTAGGCTGTTGCCTGACGTTAAAATGCAGGACACACACACCATCCTGGTGAAATTTTCAGAAGGTATTGGACTCCCAAGGCTTAGATTACTGTTCTTGACTAGTCACTAACTAAATGATCAAGTTTAACCTTCGTCAGGAATCACATCTATGGTTTTCAATGCATTTTAACAGCACTGAGCTGTTGACACAATTCCTGCACGGCAGAAGAACTCATTTTTCTGGTGCGTGACTCAAACAACCTTTTTCAGAAACTCAATTATCCAAAACAAGGCTTTGCTAAGGACTGCTACCAGTTACAAGATCTGTGGGAGCATTTTATAATGACACCGCTCAGACGGATCTTTTCAGCAGAAGATAGATAAATACAACATTAAAAATCATGTTCATGCAGTTACATTGAGAGTTCAATGCAGTAAAAATTCCTTGGATTAGGAGTTGAAACAAAGTGATACTGAAGTAAACGAGGCAGCATTAGGACTTGTAACCATTAGTTTGGTCTTAAATGAACATCTTAAAAAAGTAGGCGAGAGATAGAGGGAAAGGAAAATCCAGAATTGCAGACGTGGACAGTTAAAGACTGAATCAGTTGCCCAGTCGAATGATGAAAACTGGGGACACATACCATGTTGTGAGTCTCCTAACAGCAAGATGACTTGGCCACAGTATTGGAAGTGAAGTCAGTCAGGATTTCACAAAGGAGCGGGATTGAAGAAGCGTATGTGTGTGCGCGCGCGCACGCAGCGGCAGGGAGGGGGGCGGGAAAAGAGTTCAAGCTTGGATATGAGCAATAGTGTTTTCAGTAAATGCATAATTATGTAGGACAGTAAAGTGCTAACAATGACAGAAGGTCAAGCTGTCTGAATCAGGCAGAATAACATTAGACCAAACCTTCAGAGTTTGGAAGGTGTCTCGTGCTGCCCAAGAAAGCAGGAAGACAGATGCTCTGCTTTATTCAAAGGAGGTCAGTTGGATTTTGCCTTTCCTCTCGACAGAGGGCTCCACAGGATGATATCCTGCCCACCTAGATCAAGAGGGCACCTGCTCCAGAGCCTGGCTGTGGCGATGGAGGACATTGCTGCTGCTCGCACAGTAACCCCCAGGATGAAGCAACACCCAGAACTATGGTAGGTGTTATTGGCAAAGTGGGAGCCAGCAGGGAGTCTTGTGGGACAGGAAGGCCGTTAGTGTTGCAAACAAGGACATGGGGAATTCAGTGCCACCCCATGCCCCACATCAGTGTAAAACGATCATGTACAAATTACTGCAGATTGAGGGTTGGCCTCCTTTGCCCCACAGACAGCCCACATAGGCTCTTCCTTTTGTGTTCTCCCTGTTACGTATCCTACATAGAGCAGAGATCCCCAGGCAGGATGATTAGTGGTCCTCCATGTTTGTTAATTGCCCAAACAGGGGTCATTAGTAAAGACAGGGTGGTCACGCATGGGTGTGGAGGCAGGACACTGACACCCCAACATAATCCCCCAGGCCTCCTTCCACACTTCATACAGGCTCAAAAGACTCCCTCTGTTGCAACGTAAACCTCAATATTTGTTAAGTTGAAGGAAAGATTACTCATTTACCGTTCCTGATCAAGCAGACGATCAGCAAGCTCATTTTTACATTTGTCCAGTCCAGCTTCAAGGATGGAAATCTCCGTCTGGCTCTGAAGTAGGGAACTTCTCAAATACTCATTCTCCTGCAATAAACAGTTACAAAAATGCAACACAAATCTCAAAACACCAAATAACACAGTAGCCACTCTTGGAAATTACAGATTCCAGTCCCACGCCAGCCATTTGAGCACATGGACCCTGAAACGTCAGCCCTGAGAGAGAACTGTATTGTTCAGAATGGCACCTTTCAGCTGCCATGTTAAAACATCCTTCCCAGGTGGAGGGAAGAGTTACACCAAAGAAGGGGAAAGCAATATCCCAGTCCATCTATTCCTCAATAAAAACCGTCACTAAACAGATCATTCAATCATAGGTACATCACTGCTTGTGGGAGCATGGCAAAGTGACTGATGCATTTCCTACATTACAATATTCACAGTTCAAAACACTGTTGCTGTAATGCATTTTGCAACACATGAAAGGCACTACATAAAATGATGACAGTCTCAGTGTAGAATGGTATTGATGTTTAAATGAAGGAGGATTTGAACTCAGAGCAGGTGTCTATCACAGTGATTATGTATAATGTTTAAATCTGCCTCACCATTAATTTTAACAATCAAATTCTAATACTCCACTGGTTTTGTTTGTCCAGATTTAGGATTTATCCAATGAAATTACAGCATTTACTTCATAGGAATACTCTAAAATTTCAAACAGGGTAAAAGTAACTGGAATGCAAGTTGGTGCCAGTTATTGGGATAGATTAAAGATTAGAAAATTTTATGGCACCGATATATACTATTTGGCCAACTGTGCTGCCTCAACATTTTTTTTTCCAGCTTAATCTTACTTTCCAGCATTTCGTCTGTGAGCACTTAGATCGAATACTTTATAAACAGCTTTAGTAGGCCAGGTGGTGGTGTTGACTACCCTGTATTAGAAGGTTTAATGAAGTTCCATTCATGGACTCAAGTTACGAAGATTTTTTGCAGAGGTTGAACATAAACTAACACGCACAAATTGTTATAGCAGGGGGTGGTTTGGGGTTTAAATGGTTTGCATAACATAAAAGAAATCTCCAATGGTAATTGAGAAATGACTACATTGCTCCACAGTAGCTGATCTGAGAATCATACGATTTGGAACAGGACCTTCAACCCATTAGGTCTGCAATAACCTAAAAAACAAACCAGGCCATCAAATATCTACAATAAACCCACTCTCCAGCACTTGGCCCATAACCTTGACTTCAATGACATTTCAGGTGCTCATCCACAATTTTTTTTTTTTTTTTTTTTTTTAAAAAAAACATTGAGACACTTCCTGCCTCAATTAATCTTCCAGGAAATGCATTCCAGATCTTCAACACCATCTCACAGTAGTGGGGGCATTAAAGTTGCCATGCTCCCACAAGCAGGGATGTACCTATGATTCAATGATCTGTTTAATGACAGTTTATTGAGGGATAGATGGACTTGGATATTGTTTTCCCCTTCTTTGGTGCAACTCTTCTTTCTTCATCTGGAAGCGAAGACAGGACAATTGTTGTAACATGGCACCTGGTCCCCTTGTTACTGAACTTTCAGCTAAGGGGAACATCCATTTCCTATCCACCTTGGCTCTACCTCACAATCTTATACATCTCAAACAGAGTGCTCTTGTGGTGCAGTAGCAGATCCTGGAGGCCTGGGTACAAGTCCTTCCTACTCCAGAAGTATGTAATAACATCACTGAACAGGTTGATTCAAAAAATATCTGCACCTCAATCAGTTCTCCTTAACCTTCTCTGCTCTAAAGAAAATAACCCAAGCTTATCCAGCCTCTCTTCATAGCTATTTTGATCCATCCCATGCAACATCCTGGTGAATCTCCACTGTACTTCCTCCAGTAGAGTCACATTTTTAATACATGTCCATAAATCAATGTGTACATTAAAACATATTTATCTGAATAGTGATGTTCCATGCTCCAATGAAATTGCCAATCATTGTATAGCATTGCAAGAACTGTGCCTTTTGTTACAGCACTTCAGGCTGAAGGAGTATCATTGGATGTACAATTTATGATAGATCACCACATCTCACTTGGGCAGATTTAGTTAATTCCAAAAGATCAAAAGGTTTTGCCACTGTCCAATACATCTTTGGCTCCAAAAGCATCTTAAACAAAGGCCTCTATTGTTTTGTTTAAAATCATAGAGAATGCTTTTTGGGCTTTGAGGAACAAGCTTTGAGCCTAGGAATTGGTTATTTATCTGCATTGTCTTGAAGACTGAAAAGTTGCACTGAAATTATGCTTTTGATCTGGAGGCAAAGCTGACATTTAAGTCACTGAATCGTACAGCGCAGTATGAAGCTCATCATGCTCAAGTTAGCATTTTGAAAAAGCTATCCAATTAATTCCACTCAATGACTTCGTTCCCTTAACCATGTAAATCTTTCCTTGGAGTCTAAATCCAATTCCCTTTTGAAAGTTACTTATGAATCTACTTCTCTCAATCATTCAGGTAGTGCATTCAAGATCATAACTTGCAATGCTAAAAAGCAAGAAAAAAAATTTATCCCATCTCCCCTCTGATAAAGTCACCAAATGTAACAAATTTGGAAATAACTCCTCCATTCAGCCTCACTGCTAATGTCAAGCAGGGATATGCCAAATTTATTTTGGATCATCAGTTTATTCTGCCTCATTGCCAGCTGCAAGCCCTGTGCATTTGTTCCAGTAAATATTGGTTTTAATCTTTCAACAGTGTGAAACAGCTCCTTCAGGGACCATGACAACAGGCTGACCTGAAAACACTTACATTCTTGCACCAAAGTCCTTCAGAAGCAATGAATTTTAGAAATCTAAAAAGGGTCACCAAGACAACAGAGCTTCAATGCAGGCACAGCAAGGAGTGAATAGTGTCTATTTTCCACCTTCTGGGGAGAAGAAAAGCTACATGTACGCAAGAAATCATTGTTTGGATTATATTAGCTTTAAAAATAAAGCCATAATGGTCGCAACACTCACGCACACACATACCCGGGTTAATTCATCCAACTGCTCTCTCAGTGCAGAGATGTCCCCTTTGGAATTGGAATTCCACAGCTCTTCATTAAGCTAGAGAAACATGGCAACAATAGACTTTAGTGCATAAGTAATGCTGTCAAGCAGAAGTCTTCATATTTACACAATTAGCTGCAGAACATTTAAAAATGTAAACGTTGTTTTGAGGTACTGCGTCAAGTATCTCCCTGTGTGCACTCTTCCATTTGGACATTCCAGAGGTCACAAGTTAAAAACCAAATGACCATTGAGCCCAGCATTCCTGTGCTGGCTCCTAGAGGGAAACAAATTAATCCAATTTCCCTGCTCTCCTCATTGCCCTGCAATTTTGTCCCCCTTCAGGTTTGTATACAATTCCCTTTTGACAGTCGCTATTGAATCTGCTCCCACCTTTCCAAGCATTACATTCCTTATCACAACACAATTGCATTTAAAAAAGTAATTCTTAGCTCACTCTGGCTTTTTAGCAAATTATTCCACATCCACATTCTCTGGTTACCAAGTCCTCCAGCAGTTGACTAGGTTCTCATTACTTACCACTCCAAACTTCAACAGTCTTCCTTTGTCGTCTTTTTAAGACGTGCTTTTGAGAGTTTACACATTGCTGTATTGGCAGTGTAAAGACAGCTCTAAAATACTCTGACTTCCTGATGTGTGTATTTTAAAACATAAGTGCAGTATTTGTTGGGTGATTTAGTAACTTTGAAATGGATCAGTTCAGTCTCATAGTGCATTCTGAGATACGCAATTTTCAGTCTTGTTTTAGAAGTGTGAATAAAAGTGAGATTTTGTTTTCCATTTTTAAGTAGTTGCTTTGCAGTAAAATAAACTACCCTTCCTTAGGAATAAATCAGACTAATTCGTAACCTGACAATATTCTTTGGAACAGGACAGATTTAAGTACCTTTTTCATTCGGTCAATGACTGCCTGTAGATCCATTACTTCACTTTCATGTCGTTTTTGTATTTCTGCCACTTTTGCCTCGAGTTTCGCCTGCTCCTGTAATGGATGAAACTTGAACACTGAGCTTTTGTTTGTCAGAGTGAAAAGCAATCTTTGTTATCAAAATAAAAAAAAAAAAAAGACCTGTGTTCAGCACACTGCACTAGTCAGAGTCAATTCAAGACAGCAACCTATTAAGCTTACAGAAGCAATGCAACAGTGTCTGCAAAGTGATGTAGTGCAACCCTCAAAAGATCCATCTCTCCAGGTGTTCCCACCTCCTAAACAATTTTTTTTGTTAGGAAAGAAGCATTTTTCTCAAAGATTTAAAATGGAATAATCGGCTTCTTTGAATCTAACTTGGCCCATAAAGAGCTAGTAATCAACTTCTCATTTCATTTAGTTTCACCCATTGCTTTGTAACCAACAGTAATTTATCTTAACTCAGTTTCTCTCTGCACTGGTGGTCTCGAGTGTTCCAACACTTAGAGGTTAGATGTCAGATTTCCAGCATTCACAAATAAAAAACATGTCCCACTTTGATGAAGCTCTGCTCTTCTTCCAGACTACAATTTTTTTTGCTGCCTACCTTGTTTTTCACTCGCTTAAAAAAAAAAAAATAATAATAATTTTCCTCTCTGGACTTCAGTCCTGATGCAAGAAGTTGGATTTCTGGCTGCCGCTGGGGTTAGAATTGGAAGGGAGGAGTGAAAGAAAGCCTCCCCAGCTCCTGTGACAGCTCACTGGGTCTGTCCCGGATTCTTTCACTCCTGCTCCCTTCCAATGTCCTGACATTTTTTTTGTAGAATCAGGGACATGCAGAGTTACCTGTTGCATCCGAAGGGTAGCTAAGCAGACTCGTTATGAGAATAATTGAAGGAAATTAATGGATGGACTGGAATTTTCCAGGTGCCCAAGGTTGGTGCAGGCACTCTAGTAGTCAGCTGCCCAAGTACAAGAGCAACTACAAGTTACACTATAGACAGAGTCTTCTCCCATTCACCCCCTAACTAGATTTATTTATTAAAATTAAGCCATTGTGTGGGGAAATAATGCTAATTTTTCTTCAAAGTGCAGAGTCTGCAATGTACATGTGGCACAAGATTTGGCAAGGATAGTTCACATTCAGCCCATCAATCTGTGCTAGACACCACAGGCAGAAATACAACATTGGACCACCACAGACACTCACCCCGGTAAGAGCCTTCTCACTTTCTTCCATTTTTAACCTGCGATTGCTACCAGGCAACACAAGGTGGACTTATTGGCAGATCAGTACATGAATTGCTTTCTCAAATTTTTCAACATATCACTGAGAAATGTGCAGGGATAAATAAACTTCAACACCAAATTATCTAACACAGGGGAGGGGAGGACTCGTCTCCATGGCCCAACTGACAAAAGCCGGAGAAGAGATCTGGATTGACAGCCGGAGGAGAGAGTTTTCCATTTCCAATCACTGGCCAAGAACACGACCATCACCTTGTAAGAGCAGTGGACAGGATTAAATGGACCCAATGATCTCCTGTTCAAAAAGGAGATGGTTGAGATAATATTAATACTCAAAAAGAGTGTTCTTGGTCAGGGAGGTAGATAATATATTAAAAAAGTGTAAAAGTCAAGTCTAAACCACCTTTGATCATCAGAACTCGAATTGTAAAAGAGGTGAGACAGTCCTGTGGGGATGCTACAAACTCTATCTATCCTCAGAAGCTGTGTTAGTTGGTGAAGCTTTTAAAGAAAGCTGGTGGCTCCATTCTAACAAGATTCCAATGATTCAACTCAGATTGGCCTGCAAAGTGTGGCCAACAGTTGGAGAGAGGGGCAGCAATGGATCCAGGAGGTATCTACCTTTATAGTACTGCCTGTGAACCAGGAGAAGCAGAGGTCTTCCCTCCTGGCCTAACATGGAACCCAGTAACAAACCCCAACACCCACCCCCCTGCCCAACCACCATAATCCTCAGACTCTTGATCTCTTCCCCCAATACCCCTCCAAATACTGCCCTGTGATCTGTCTCTTCCCCCAAAAGTATCGTCCCCCCATCCACTAGAAATCTCTGCTTCTTTCAGACATCCTTCATAGAATCCCTACGGTGTGGAAGCAGGCCATTCGGCCCATCAAGTCCACACTGTCCCTCCCAAGAGCTTCCCCACCACTCACCCATCCTATCCCTGTAACCCTGCATTTCCTATGGCTAATCCACCTAGCCTTGGACACTGGACAATTTAGCATGGCCAACCCACCTAGCCTGCACATCTTTGGACCGTGGGAGGAAACCGGAGCACCTGGAGGAAACCCACGCAGACACGGAGAGAATGTGTAAACTCAGACGGTGGAATCGAACCTGGATCCCTGGTGCTATGAGGCAGCAGTGCTAACCACTGGGCCACCGTGCCGCCACTTCAGCTGAAGATTTTGCCGCCCGAACATATCTTCATTCAACCTGGCACACCCAGATAGAAAATCCAACAAAAAAGGTGCTGGCTAACAAGTACAGGACCTTCCGGAAAACGTGTGTTTCCATGTTTTATGTTTACGGGATCAGGATCGGGATAGGAACAACCCTCCACAAACCCCACCCAAGACAGGCAGCCCTATAAATATCAAGATCTTTGATTCAATTTCGACAGCATTGCAAATGCAGGAAAACATCCCAAATTATGACTGTATCAGGATATTGTAATTGCTTTTTAATAAGAAAGGTAATGAAAATGGTATTGGGGAAAAGAGGCAAGATCAAGAAGGATATAGTCAAAAAGGTAGGGTCATCAGATCAGACATGATCTCGTTGAATGGCAGGATAGACTTGATGGGCCAGATGGCCTACTTCTGTTCCTAGGGGTATGTTGTATGGTTGTAAACAGTATCAGACTCCTTGATGAATCTCTTACGGTCAAGCAGCCCAATGGTGCTCATTATAAAAAATTCTGTAGCAGTGACTGTCACTTACTGTTCAAGGATTGTGAAGCCATGGATCATTGGAGACAAAGAATGATCATTCTAAATCATGCCACACTGTTTACTTGGAGCAATTCTCCTCTTGGCCCCAAGGGTTAAAAGGGGAATTTTTTTTTAAATTGCAATTCAGGGAACGTTTATATAACAACATTCTTGCACATTTTCCGCTTGGAGATTTTGAAGAATGCAGAGCAAAGGATTAATAATTACACCACCACAATGGCCCAGAATTCACATCAATGCCTACACACAGATCTCACCTCCCGTCGGATTTTCTGCTCAAGTTTCATTGCCTGTTGTTGCACGTCTTCTTCCATTTCAGCCAATCGCGCGTCAGCCATTGCCTCAGTCCTGCCAGAGATGATCAGGCAGTTTTAAAAAAAAACATTCACTGACGCGTTAAAATGAATTGTTCTGCCAGAGACGTTATAGAAAGGATGGTATTAAGCTGGAGAGGGTTCAAACGATATTTATCAGGATGCTCCCGGGAACGGAGGGTTTGGGTTAGAATGAAACGCTGTGTCTTTTTCTCCCCCTACCAGAGTGTAGGAGGTTGAGGAGTAACCTTATAGCGGTTTATAAAATCACGAGGGGTATAGATAACATGAATGAGAACTGTTTGGAGGAATACGGGCCAAGTGCAGGCAGGTGGGACTAGTTTAATTTGGGATTGCAGTTGGCATGGAATGGTTGGACCGAAAGGTTTGTTTCCATGCTGTATGACTGTAAGTAGCATTTTTAAAAAAAGAGGGACCAACATGCGTCGGGGAGTTACATCAGGGTAATAATTAGGTCATATATTAAGGTTAACTCTTAGCCAGGGAAACTGACCAACTCATTATCATGTGCATTCTCCAAGGGATTTTCATCATTCCATTGTACCATTGCAGGTTTTTAGGGCAAAGTGACTTTATATTGATTAGTTCTTTTAAGCTTCAACATAAAATTAAATCTTGAATATAGGTGGTGGCAGCCAAGAAACGTGTCTCCACTCACTGCCTGTGCATAATGCTATGGCACCTGTCTTCCACACTCTAGAAGCTCAAGTATGAATGTATTTGAGAACTTATGTGCACTCACATGAAGGATTGGGATGCACCACATGCTGCTCTAGGTTATATCCTTTGTGAATGTCATCACAAGAATATAAACATTAATGCTCGATGCCTCATAACACAGATTGCTGGATTCCCTGCTCAGCTCTACATAGTATTGCCGAAGCCAAGAGAGATTATGTTGTTTTGTAAATGGATCTCAAATACACTTCAAATAGGGAGCTTGCCTTACCTCCCAATGACTAGACATTCAATAGTATGATGCAGGAGGTCATATCAATGGTTACCCCTTCCCCCACCAACCCTCATATCACAATCTCTCATGCTACTAGACACACCCCCACAATCTTTCAAAAAGGCTGACTGATTAACATTGTACTGAGAGGCTGCCAAACCCAAAACCATTGAGCTGTTTAAATCAGAGTATTAGTTACATCAGACCTGAGTTTCACTCCTCCCTCACCCCCATTCAGTTTGTTTCCTCCTTGAAGTTGTTGGCTTGCTCGCTGAGCTGGCCGGTTATCGTCTGTATGTACAATAACCAGCCAGCTCGGTGAGCAAGCCAACAACTGCATCTACAACACGAGCTACAAATCTTCACAAGAACCTGGTTTCCTCCTTGTTATAATAGAAAAGAGAATCATGAACAATGCCATACTATGCCTGGTTAGCAATCTCTCTAACCAAGCCAGGGAATCTGTTCCCTCAACAGTTTTTCACACATGGCTCGTAACAAACCGTGAGTTTGTCGCCTCATTGTCAAGTTAGCAAGCTGACTTTGGCCTACTCCTCATTCACTAGAACTACCAATTAAATTTAGCCAATGTAACCTTAATTGGAGAACCCAGAGCCCATCACCCACTTTCACTTCACACAAGTCTACACAAGCATCATAGGATCCATTTTGCTTTTTGGATGAGTGGGAGGGAGTACAGTTACCAAGGGTGGGGATTCTGTGGCACTACAATCCAGATTCCCTTCTTACACATGGTGTTCACCTGCTACTAGGAGGCAAGGAAAATAATTCAAGCTCTACCTTTGCTGGGCCTTGTCATGTACTGCTCATGGGTCTGTTTGAAGACTGAACTGTGCAAATTCTGACAAAATAATATTCAACCTCCAATTTCCACCACAGAAACTTGATTTCCACATTTCCATTGATCTGGTGGTTGGCCCTTTCCACAGGGAATGTTACTGGGAAAGGTGGTGCCATTAAAAGAGCCTTATCTGTCAAATTTATTTTTGGAACATTTCCCAATCCCAAGTGATGTCAAATCTTTCTAAAAAAAAAAAAAAAAAAGAGGTAGCAAAACTTTAGGGGAATAAAACTGATGGAAGTTATTTTTCCAAGGAAGACAAAGAGACTGCAAAGGGCCAGACGGAGTTGGACATAGTAGTGGCAGATGGAATATATAATGTAGAGAAATCTGAAATTATCCAGATTGGTCAGAAGAATGGGAAAGTAGATACCTTGAAAAGATCAGCAAAATGCCAGTCTTCAGCAGGATTTGGTTGCCCTTTGCACAACAGCCAAAGTCAGTATGAATGTACAGCAAGCAATTTTGAAGGTAAATGGTATGTTGGCCTTTATTGCAAAGAGGTCAATCCAGAGTGAGGAAGTGCTCTGCTATTTCATAGGGTTTTAATAAGCACACAAGCAACACTATTTACAGTTTGTCTCCTTAACCAAGGAAGCTATATTTGGCATAGCTGAGGTACAAAGGTTCACTGGATTAATTCATGGAATTGAAAAATTAAATTGTACTGTGAACAGAAACTGAAAAGAAAGGGCTTACATTCTCTGGCGATTAACCAAGATGGGAGATGGTCTTATTGAACTGCATTACATTCTAAGAGGGCTTGACTTGGTTGAGGCAGAGAGGATATTTCCCTGGGCTGGAAAGTCTAGAATTAGGGGTCATAGCCTCAAGATAAAGAATTGACAATGGAGGACAACTAAAACCGATAGTGTCCAAAAACCTAAGCAAATTAAGGGTTGAGAAGATGTGGGGACAGAGCAGGGGTTGGTGGAGAAGCAGCAGGTTAATCTATTAAAAATGAAGCAGACATCGAAATACAACCAGAAGCTCAAGAGGTTGCATAGGCTACTGCTGCTCTTAATTGTTATGCTTTCTGAACTCTAAAAATAAAAAGGTTGGTTACACAACAGAATCGTGAAGAGGTGATTCATACATTATTCTTCTGACAATCATCATCCCAAAAATGGGCTTCTGAAAGTACATCATTTCATATTAAGCTGATTACATACAAAACTTGTATTTCAAATGTAAGCAAACAAAATTACACCTGTACATTTGCAGTCTATTACTAAGAGGGTGCAAAGAACATCACATCACAAGTTATCGGTTTGAGTTTTTTTTTTGCAAGTTCCACATTGTATCATGAGCTATATAGACTCTAGTTGCTCTCTCAACCAGAAGGCTTTTCTTATGAAAGAACGATCATAGTCAATTACTTTGACACAGCCATTTATAGCACCCTTATTGCAAGAAGTTTAGAATGTACTGTGCCTTGGGAAAAAAGTCTAAAACCATACACTAGATTCAATGAGCAGTGGTTTTAAAAAAGTTGCAATGATTTTGTCCCTGCTAAAAAGACAAAATTTCTTATCTTCCATTCATGGATTAATACAATAAGAAATTATAATGAAACTTCAGTTCTGTGCTGATTTTCCAGCAGGAAAAGTGTAAGTTGGTCTTGCCCTGAACAAATGGAAGGAAAATTACATTTTTGGCTTCCCAATTGTTATCTTGCCAAAAAGTGTACAAAGACACTATCGTGATTTAGATTTTACATTAAGAGAACAACTGGGATACTACATAAACTAAGATGTGGTGAAACTATGGTCTATGGTCCAATGTGGTCACACAATACCCGAGCAACAGAATCTAAATTGCTCTTATATTTTTCACTCGTTGGTTTGTCCAATTTTAATTCTGTAGTTCCAAGAGATTTTGAATGAATCATCTTGGCTCACCACCATTTTCAATTGCAATTAGGGATGGGCAAATGGTTGGCTTTGCCAATGCCATCCCATCTCAAATGAACTCTTGATGCTGTTAGCTCTTTGGATAAATTTTAACTTGTTCCATCAGGATCTAATAATATCAACTGTAGATGTACACTTATTAAACAAATTCACTCAGTTCAATTTTATAGGGCTAAAGTTTTAGCAAAACTGCCACTTTGCTGGTGCATAGATCTTCAAAATCAAGACACCAATAGCTGAAATGCTGAGCGCATTAATTTACATTTTACATCTATACCAAAGGCCCATGAACACACTGACCTGTGTATGCTAGTTCTCCACTATTCAACTTTGCTTAGTCAAATTTAAGATTTTATTCCTATGATTTTACCAGAATGTGAAACATGGGAATAATTATGTAGTTATAAAACCTTCATAAAATTTTGTCCAATTCTAGACTGTACGTCCACAAACAGTCTCCTGCAAATCCAGCCTCACATTTAAACTAACAATTGTATTTTTAAAAAAAAGGGAAGGTGTTTGAGGCCTGGGAGTTTGATTAGGTTATGGGTGCTGAGTGAAAATGTGCTTCAATAATCACTGCAGTACCCTGTTGTAAATTAATGAAGGATTAATTAGTAATTGCAGCCTCTTTCTGTGCTGAAATGACTCAATGGCACTAGAATAAGTATTATTCACAAACAGATACATCATTGCTTATAGGTAATAGATTAAATATAGCTGCAAGGCCCTTTACCATTGAGAAGAGAAGGCTGTGGTGTAGTGGTAAAGTAAGTGGACTAGCAATCCAAAAGTTCAGCCCAATTCTCTGGGGGTCATAGGTTCAAATTCCACCCACCCAACACCCCTCAAGACTTAGAAATATTGAATTTAAAAAAGATAATCTCAATAAATTGTAACTGTAACACTAACATTGATTGTTGTTAAAAACCCATCTGGTCCCTTTACAGAAGGAAATTGTCCATCCTTAAACACTCTGGCCTATACGACTCTGGAATCACATAACGACATGACTAACTCTCCATTGCTTTCCAAAACAGCCTAGCAAGCCATTCAAGGGTAATTAAGGGCAGGCAATAGATTAGGAGCATGCATGAGACACTAGCCTTCTGAGGACACCCTCACCTCAATGGAAAAAAAGTTAAATTCCCCTGACTCATGTGTGACACCCTCCTGTATTCTACATTCCTCCGTTCTTGCTGCTTGATTCCAAGCCAACTGGAGATCAGTTTAGAAAGCGAGGGCCTTTTTGCACTTTCTGACACCATCCAATTTCCCAGTGACTCTCTTCAAACTCCCTTCAAACAGATCAGATCAGGCTACAATACACAGAGGATGACGGTGCTCTTGTGGACTGCCCTGCAGTGTTTTCTTACAAAATCACAACATAAATGCATAGCGTTGTTGAAATTGGCCAATCCATCATTATAATGCAGTTTGAGACAAGCATAAAGACAACCCAAAGCATTTAAAAAGGGCCAGAGAGGGTGCTGTTTTGAACCGATAAGACTGTAGGTAGAATAGAGGTTCATATTCATCACTATTGGGTAATGCTGCACTATTCTAAAATAAAAACAATTGCTATGGAAAGAGATACAATCTGGTCGTCATGGTTATCAGCAAGATAGGAGAGGGTTCAGAATTTTTTTTTTAAAACCAGGACATTGCCATGAATGGAGGGTTTGAGGGATATATATATTTAAAAAAAAAAAAAAAAAAAAAAAAAAAATCGACTGGGACCGTTTTTCCGTGGAATGTAGAAAGTTGAGGGGTGACCTTATTGAGGTTTATAAAATCATGAGCAGCATAGATAAAGTGAATGGGCGGGGGGGGAAGGAGTTCAAAACTAGGAGACATTTTTAAGAAGTGAGATGAGAAAGATTTTAAAAGAGACACGAGAGGAATTTTTTTTTAAAAAAACAGTGGCTCATGTGTGGAATGAATTGCCAGAGGAAGTGGTGGATGCAGGTACATTTACAACATTTAAAAGACATTTGGATAAGTTCATGAATTAGAAATGTTCCGAGGGATAATAGGCCAAATGCAGACAGGTGGGACTAATTTAGTTTGGGAACACAGTCAACGTGGACTAGTTGGACCAAAGGATCTATTTCCATACTGTATGGGCGTACGCATCAAGTGAAACCAAATAGTTGCTCATACTCTTCAATATTCCAAAGCTCCGATACATTTCAGAAAATAGCACACAGTTTCAGGCAATTATTCCACGAATTTCTTGGCAGGACACGGGCCACAGCAGCCCCCTTACCTCCTGAGTGTCTGTTCCAGTTTCCCCGTCTCCATGTCCTGGACCTTACCGTCTTTGATAAGCTCCTGGATCAGTTGCTCATACTGCACGTTTAAACCGTAGTCTGAAGATGCACGGATTTGCTGGTAGAAGTCGAACAATTTCTCCCGGCTGTTGCGAGGGGGAGAAGAAACAACGTTAATAACTGCCGGAATTAGAATGAAGCCTGGACACCCACCCCCTTTAAATTGATAATCAGTTCCTGATCACTCAGCGTCTATTTAATAGAGCTGAACGCCTGCACCATCAATACTAACAAATGGCGTTTCAAACTCGGTTCAAGTTCCTCAATTGCGGGACAAAAGGTCCGGATGGCTACAGCCTGCGTTACACGGTTATGGGTCTAAGGCAGGCAGACTTTAGGAGGTGGAAGCAGGGGGAATAGTGCAGCACCTTATTGAGGTCCCAAGCCCCGGTTCACGGCGGGAGCTCCCACTAGACTAAGTATAATCAGCAGGCGAGAGGATCACTCTGAAACCAGCCCAGCTATTCTCCACTCAGTCTAAGGTATGTATGTAAGTATGTATGTGTGTACACTCCCACACCCTTAACTGAGAGCTTATTGCAGAAGGAGAGGTGAGAGCTGCAGCTAGTTTAACCCTCTCCGTAGTTTTACCAGCTGTGCAGAGGAGTGACTGGGTTCATTTTAGGGGCAAATTACTGCAGATGTTGGAATTTGTAGAGAAAACATTTTCGTCCTTCCTCCCTCATCCGAGTACACGTTTCCCTGTCTTTTTCATAAAAGCTTCCAGTTTTATTTTATGTATTTTTAACCTACTTTCCAAGGCTTCTACTCATTTAACAGAGGATGATGTGTTTGAAATATCCCCTACATCTTTATGTCTACTTTACAACATTTTTTAATCAACCTATTCGGAGATGTTATCCCACACCTCTGGAACAGGTGGGACTTGAACCCGTGCCTCCTGGGCTGGAGGTAGGGGCAGTACCACTACCCAGGAAGAGCTGTTTGGCCAAAGCTGTTGTAATTGGATCCAACAGAAATGGCCTCTGACTGACACCCCCCTCAAGAATCTGAACCATGCCATGAACAAATGTCCAATGGTGGTTAATTAAGTTTAAAATAAAACAATAACGACCTGTCACAACAGAGAAACCAAACAGCTGTAATGATTATCGTTTAATCTTACTAAAATGTGTCTTATTAAACAGTTAATTCTGAAAAGGAAGAGGCCATTTGGTCCTTCCTAGTTCTGGTATCTGATGAGACCATTGCTGATCTGTATCTTATCTTGATAAACATGCTTTAACTCCATTATCTTTTTATAATCTTGGCTGTTTTAAAAAAAAACTACCTATCTCTGATTTAAAAGATTAATTGAGCTAGCAACTATTGCTTTTTGTACTTGAGAGTTCAATATTTCCAGAATCTGATGTGTGGTGTTTTCTCACCTCGCTCCTGAATTACCTTGTGCTAATTTAAAAGTTTATTTTCTTCCCTTGTCTTACACACCACACTCCAGTAGAAAACACATTTCCTATCCATCCCCATTAATTCCTTAAAACATCAATTAAATCACCCCTTACCCTTCTATTTTCTAAGAATTACAACCTTTGTTTGGGTAATCTCTCTTTATAATCTAACTCTTGGCATCTTGATAATGTTTTGGTGAACTGTACTGCACTCCAAAGATTAATTTAGTCTTTTCATTGAGTAATACCCAGAACTCTACACAAGACGTTAGGTGTGGTTTAACCAAGAGTTTTATTACAGCTGCAAGAAAATTTCCCCACTTCAGATAATAGTTTCATAGTTTGAAAAGGATGACTATTCCATGAGCTTCCTGATGATTTCCTGCAGTGTCTGGTAGGTGAACATCTTTGCATTCCGACTCCAAAGCCACCCAGACTTGGATTAATGAAACCAAACATAGTAGTGACCCATAGCAAGTTGCCATGCACTATGACCATCCTGGATTTGCCAATAACCATCTATGCTCTGTGAGCAAAGATGATCATAGCGTAAAGATCAGACCTAACCTGCATGTCTTTGGACTGTGGGAGGAAACCAGAGCATCACTGGAAACCCACACAGACACACGGAGAATGTGCAAACTCCACACAGTCACCCGAGGCTGACTTGAACCTGGGTCCCTGGAGCTGTGAGACAGCCAAACACTATGCCACCATGCTGCCCAAAACCCTCTCAAAATTTCAGGATTTTGTTGCTTTATCAAATCTTCTTACAAACTTCTCCACTGTAGTAAGAACATTGCAGCTTCTCCAGTTTCTCAATATATCATCCCTGGTAACAGTCTCAAACTGTTTTGCCTCCTCCAGATCTCGAGAACCCTTCTGCAATGTGATGGCTAGAACTGATCACAATACTCCAGTCATTTTAAGGTTTATCATAACTTCTTACGTACTTCTTTCCCCACTACTAATAATGCCAAAGATTCACTGTGCTTTTTTTAAACCAGCTTCTCTACCCCTCCTGCCACTGATAAAGATGTTTGTATGTAGTTACCTGGGTCTACATACCTCTCTGTTTTTGCACCACCTTTTAAAATTGTATCATTCAGCCAGTATTGTCTTGACACATACTTGCTGCCAAATGCATATCTTTGCATTTCTCTGCATGAGTTTTTGTCAGCCACGATTCCATTATATGCTCAAATCCAGGTCATTGAAAGGAGTCAGAAAGAGCAAGAGTCCATATGTTAATCTCTGGACGGGACCGATGTAACCTCCCTCCTGTATCAAATGGTAATTACTTTTAATCCTATGGTCTCAGCTAACCTCATCTGTGTCCAGTAGTCAAAATATTTAGAACACTTGGTCCAGATCCCTTTGCAATCGCCCTCTCAATCCATCCTCTCTGCCCATAAAATAAGCTCTGCCTTGCCTTCTCTGATAGTATTTTTAAAGGTGTTAACTTTCAAATGCAGTTTTCACCTATTGTGGCTGGTATTATTATTGGTAGGGGGCACCTTTGCACGGGACACATGTCAAAGGCTGAATTTTTGGCTGCAGCACATTAATTTACCCATCCCAGTCTGAATAATTGTTTGGTGTCATATCTTCTCCTTTGCAAAGCTTTTGATATGCAAAATACATCACAAGTGTTGAAGGGGTAGTAGGAACTGCAGATGCTGGAGAATCTGAGATAACAAGGTGTAGAGCTGGATGAACACAGCAGGCCAAGCAGCATCACAGGAGCAGGAAGGCTGACGTTTCGGGCCTAGACCCTTCTTCAGAAAAGGGGGAGGGGAAGGGGGTTCTGAAATAAATAGGGAGAGAGGGGGAGGCGGATAGAAGATGGATAGAGGAGAAGATAGGTGGAGAGGAAACACAGGTCAAAGAGGCGGGGATGGAGCCAGTAAAGGCAAGTGTACGTAAGGAGGTAGGGAGGAGATAGATCAGTCCAGGGAGGACGGACAGGTCAAGGGGACGGGATGAGGTTAGTAGGTAGGAAATGGGGTTGCGGCTTGAGGTGGGAGGAGGGAATAGGTGGGAGGAAGAACAGGTTAGGGAGGCGGGGACGAGCTGGGCTGGTTTTGGGATGCGGTAGGGGGAGGGGAGATTTTGAAGCTTGTGAAATCCACATTGATACCATTGGGCTGCAGGGTCCCCAAGCGGAATATGAGTTGCTGTTCCTGCAACCTTTGGGTGGCATCGTTGTGGCACTGCAGGAGGCCCAGGATGGACATGGCGTCTGAGGAATGGGAGGGGGATTTGAAATGGTTTGCAGTTGTTTATTGCGAACCGAGCGTAGGTGTTCTGCAAAGCGGTCCCCCTGCTCCTATGATGCTGCTTGGCCTGCTGTGTTCATCCAGCTCTACACCTTGTTATCACAAGTGTTTAAGGTTTCACTCTCACGGACATGTTTCTACATCACAGTTTAATGTCACTTTGAATGCCTGATTTAGCAATTGTCTTGCATTTCTATTTGTCAGTTCTAAGCCCAATGTGTCATGTTGTTCTGTTGTATTGTTTTTCTCCTCCTAGTCTGTTCAGACAAGTATAGACAAAAGCATATTTTAGTCATTATTTCTTACATTAGGTGGGGCTCACAGACTCCTCATAACAAAAGCTTGTGTTAATTGTAAACACTCCCAGGCCATTTTCTTAGCCCATAAGGGCGGCACGGTGGCTCAGTGGTTAGCACTGCTGCCTCACAACACCAGAAACCCGGGTTTGATCCCACCCTTGGGGGACTGTCTGTGTGGAGTTTGCACATTCACCCTGGGTCTGCGTGGGTTTCCTCCAGGTGCTACAGTTTCCTCCCACAGTCCAAAGATGTGCAGGTTAGGCGGATTGGCCATGCTAAACTGCTCAGTGTCCAGGGATGTGCAGGCTAGGTGGGTTAGCCATGGGAAATGTAGGGATGGGTCTGGATGGGATACTCTTTGGACTGGACACAAAGGGCCAAATAGAGTCAGGGATGTACAGCACAGACACAGACCCTCCAGGCCAACCAGATATCCTAAATTAATCCACTCCCATTTGGCCCAAAGCCCTCCTATTCATACACCCATCCAAATGCCTTTTAAATGTTGTAATTGTACCAGTCTCCACCACTTCCTCTGGCAGCTCATTCCATACACACACCAGCCTCTGCATGAAAAAGTTTCCCCTTAGGTCCTTTTCAAATCTTTCCCCTCGCATCTTCAACCTATGCCCTCTAGTTTTGGACACCCCTACCCTGGGGAAAAAACCTTAGCCATTCACCCCATCTATGCCCCTCACAATTTTATAAACCTCTATAAGGTCACCCCTCAGCCTCCAACGCTCCAGGGAAAATAGCCCCAGCATATTCAACCTCTCCGTATTGCTCAAACCCTGCAACCCTGGCAACTTCCTTATAAATCTGTTCTGAACCCTTTCAAGTTTAACAACATTCTTCCCATGGCAGGGAGACCAGAAGTGAATGGAGTATTCCAAAACTGGCCTAATCAATGTCCTGTACAGTCGCAACATGACCTCCCAACTCCTATACTCAATGCACTGACCAATAAAGACAAGCATACCAAACACCACCTTCACTACTCTGTCTACCTGCAACTCCACTTTCAAGGAACTAGCAACCTGCACTCTAAGGTCTCGTTTTAGCCTGCTCCCACACTATATGAAATGAGTGGGAGACTCTTTGAGCGTACACCCGAGCTTTAAACTGGCATATGCAGGGAGATAGAAACATCTGTAATGATGAGGTTAGTAAAATTAAAGTTGCAGCAAGTGTTACACAAATCATCTTCCCTACTAGTTGCAATTGGTGAACAGGTTGCAAAGGGTATGTATTTTATTTCTTTCTCTAGCCAGTTAAGAAAATATACATTTAACAGCGAACTGGCTTTTCAAAAGATTTGGGAAGTAAATAGTTTCTCTATTCAGTCCTTTTTAAAAAGTTGAAAGCATACCAAATGTGCTGTGGGTGAAATCCAAGGTATTTGCCCTACAATCAGTCAGGCACATTCATGCATTCAGAAAATTGTTCTAGTCTTTCACTTTTGTCCTTTTTAAAGGCTGTTGTAACGCTCTCTCACTTCCTGAATAGTGCAAGTTTGTAGCCTGTGAATTCCTGGTG